ATTTTGATCAACCGTAATGGACTTTGGATGACCATTTGGGCCTTTCACTGCCCAACACCGCACCATACCGCACCTCCATCGACCAGCAGTGTGTTCATGTTCCAAGGCCTCTCCCCGCGGCGCTGCGCCGCGGCCCACGGTGGCCGCACCGCGACCCACCATGGTGGCGCCGCGGGCCACGGTGGCGCGGGGAAGCCTAGCGAAGTCGACTGCGGGCGGTCTGCGACTTCGACCCCAACGAGGTTTAGTATCCCAGACACTCCATGTATGCCATAAATGCCTACTTTGACCCCCCAAAAACCACCCCAATGTAGGTAAATATACCCATACAATGGAGTGTTTGGGGTATGGTTCAGTGATGCGGTGGAACGACGACACGACCCCTCCCCCCACGTCGTCTTTTTTTCTGAACGACGATGGCGGAATTGATGTAGCTGGGAAATCCGACCATCGAATTGTGGTGTTCCTTGCTTTGGGATGCTGAAAGGATGGAGGCATGATGCTGAGTACAAGCCAGGTGTGGTGGTCGATGTGCAAGTATCGAACAATGACCTGATGCAAAATTGCTCATACGTTGGCAGTTGTATGGTGTGTGGTTGCATCATGTTGCAGCCACAGCAGCCTTAGATGGGTTGGTCGTATGCACGGTGTTTTCTCTTTTAAGCAGTGCATAGAGAACCCCCAAATATGTACATGTATATAATGTAGATGGTGTCGCTGGGTTGATGTTTTGTTTTGTTTATATGGTGTCCGTTTCTTTGATGGCGTCGGCGAACGCAGAATGGCAAGAAGCGCAAGAAAGAGCGCTGCCGTTTTCTTTTGCTTGTTTTCTCGGAGAAAAAACACGTTGCTTCCCCAAACAGTGTGTCCACACTAAGGGTTAAGGACGGGTGTTTGATCGAGGTGCTCATCGGGGCGTCCGCTGCTGCTATTTGCAGTAATTACATTCGTTCACCTCGAGATCTTCGACGGAGACTGCGCTCTCGTTCTGGTGCCGTGCGCATTTTCGGACTTGTTTATTTGGCGGTCGGAGTGGTTTTATAGCGGCACTTTGTGATTTGAAGTGCAGGTTTCGTGGCAAGCGCGGTACTTTGTGGACAATTGAGGTGCAGATTTCGTGGCAGCCGCAGTACTTGGTGGACCTTGAAGTGTAGATTTCGTGGGAGGAGTAGCACATGTGCGCTCATATGTGTGCTCTTACATCTCCCTTTACTCTATAGGCCCAGAAAATCAATTCTAAGCCTGCACCTGCCTTCTGAAATTCCATAAACCACCTTCACCAACACCATCACCACCATCAACATCATCATCACCATCATCACCACCACCACCACCATCGCCTGGCCATCGCCATCGACCATCATCACCACCATCACCACCACCACCACTACCACCATCACCCTCATCATCACCACCACCACCATCACCAACACCAGGAGGAAGTCCAAACCAATTGCTGAATATTGCTGATAGGTTGCCATTCCCAGCAGCAGTTGCGAGGAATCACGTGGCCCAAACGAATTCTGTCTTATGAGTCTATGAAGCACTATAGCTAGTGGTAGCTATGGTCAACTTAGACTTAGTCCGTTCATCTCCAAAGTACTCAATATCCAGTGCTGAGACTGGGTCTCAATTCAATTGTTTTTCTTTGTCCAAAGTTCAAAGCTGAATCAGCGCCAAATGGCATCTTTGCTGCAACAAAATAGCCAATGTCAGAAATTGAAATCTCCCAAACAGTGAGTATGCTTGACAGGTCAGCCTAGTGTAGATGAGACAATGTCATGGCAGTTGGACTGCCACTTGCTGATGCCATAGTGGCTGTTTGGAGTTTCCCTGTGCTATGTTCTGATTCCGACTCTCTGATGACAAACATTTGGGCCATGAAGTCAAAGTCACTCTTGAAGCTACCAAAAATGGTTTGTATTTGACCAGTTTGAGTCAACAGGTTTGAAAAACACCATTTGCCTTGCACCGTCCTGAACGTTTGGGCACAAGCCCGTTGACGCTGTTCTCTCCCTCCTGTCATCGCATCTCACCAGCCGGTGCCAGTGAGCCAGATACAGTTAGACAAGACAACGCAATGCCAAACGGCAGAGCCATACGGTCAGCCAAATTCCAATCTAATCTAAGGATTTTGTTCCGCAAATGTTTGGGTGGAACTGCTACAAATCATTTTGCTACATTTTTCCACCAAGTCTACATCCAAATTAGGTTCCTTTTTCCTAACCTCGTGTGTCAAGCTGACATCATCACCACTATTACCGCCTGGCACAAGAAAACTTGCAAGTCAGCTTGGTTGGTGACCTCATTGACGGTGAAGCAGCCACCAGTTGGTGGTTCATTCACAGCTCTTCCAGCTGCCAACACTCAGCCGCCGAAACTCCAAGCTCCCGGTGTCAAGCTCTCCTCACTGAGAATGCTGAAGCGAAAGCCCTTCACACGAAAGCCCTCCACATGGAACGACAACCTCTTTTTTTGTCGCCTCTGTGATTACAAAGTCGTCACCGACTTCAGTCTAGAGATCGCTGAACTTTGCCTTCCAAAACTGCACACACGCCAAGCCAACGTATGCGCTTATATAAGCATGCATATCCAAAAGCCAGTGACGCACAAGGAGCAAGACAAGCAAAGCAAGTCAGAGAAGCAAAGGCAGAAAAGCGACAAAAGAGAAGGAGCAAAGAGAGCAGAGAGTCAGACAAACAGCAATTCCACCCCGACAAATGAGAGCAAAGCAGGCACTGGAGTAGTTTGTACTCCAGCTGATGCACATGTACATACGCCGTTTCCAAAAAAGCAGCTGAGATAAGCTGCAGAGAAGGCAGCTTGACCAAAAGGCAGCTGCTGGAAGGGGCCTGCATGGTCCCGGGGCGAGACGTTGCCAAGAACCACACGGCGTACAGGAGGCGGTGTGGCAAAGGGAGAGAAGATACACTCCGACTCACTAACATGGAAGTGGCAAACCCACTTGTTTGTAGTGGAAAATGGTCTTCCCAAGGGGCCATTCTCCACTTCCATGTTAGTGAGTCAGAGTGTAGATGAGAGCAACCTGGTGTATGTCAAGGCTGCTTAGAATGTCACACCCCCGAGCCCACCCCTCTTGGAGCATTGGTTGCCAATGAAAGACTCGGACTCGGAATGGCATACGGGTGGTGCTAATGAAGTGCGGCACAGTCAGTAACAATGTTTTTTCGAGAAACTACGTACTGTAGCGCCTTCGCTCTTTGAAGACTCCGCGGTTCAGGATATCCGGCCGGCACTCCGCATGATCTTGCTTCCATCCGAAGGTCACGCGTGACCAACACTGTTAATGTTCAGGTCACATATACTTGACCTGTCGCGATGAGTACTTCGAGGACTCACTACAATTGTCCATATCGGAATGGAGCACCTGTGTGTGCTCTCCCTGATGGAGGTCATGGACAAGGCACAGAGATCAAGAGGGTTGTGCAATTAAGCGCCAGCTGTGTGGCTGTCCTTGGCATTGTGCTGAACGGATGTGACATGGCTACGGCCCCGCAGAATTAGCGCCAAGGACCCGTGCAGGCAAGGACCAGGACCAAAGGCCGCGAGACGTTGGTGCCACGATCACCTCCAAAGGAGAGGAACAGGGCCGCCCGAAATGTCTTGGACTGAGTTGCTGCAAAAGAATGACTCGGGGATACACGGCGATGCCTAACCCAAGGGCGACAGCCAGAGCTGCTACCTGCAACTCGCAGTTGGTCGGCTACTTGCTGATCAGCACGGACGTGCGCAGGTTGAGTCCCAGCAATGACCTGTACCACAAAGCCGCCATCGCTGCCGAGCTGGTGCCAATGTTCGAGGACGAGATCATGGCTTACGCGCGGATCTCTCGGCGGGGTATTCACATTACATAAATCGCCGCGGGCTCAGTGCTCGCTGGATGCAGCTTGTAGGAGGCTGGCAGGGCCAGGACGGCAAATGGAGCACATTGTACCATGAGTGTTTGCCGACGGGCGCAGTTGCAAAGATTATCCACAACGATGAACTTCCACGTGGCTCATTCTTCTACGGCCTGAGAGCGATCGATGACAACTTTGTTGCCATTCAGCTACCCCGATCACAGCCCCAGAACCCTCACTAATTGACCGGCAGACTGGTCTCCCAGATTGGCAGAGGGCGTATGCAGAGTGAACTATCGCCATGCAGAGAACTCGCCCGAACCAGTCTTCGGTCCCTTCGCGAGAACAGACTCCGCCACTCCTGAGGTCTTCCGGTCCAGGACGGGGTCGGTAGTGGTGACGGGCGGCAGTCGACCGCGGCGCCTCTCGGAACTTCACTAGGGGAGGAGCACGAATTGCGCATGGAGAAGATGTTTCGAACACTCTCTATGTTCAATTTCTGTGTTGCTTTATTCTTTTTATTAGGGGAGGATTGGGTTTGGAATCTTCTTTCGTGTGGACGTGGATCCTTTCCATTGCTGCTGCGCCAACGATGCCAGCGAGCAAAATTCTGAGAAGGGGAAAGCTGCCTTGCTGAAAGAAGAACTGGTGTAGAATAAAGAAGCTGGTGAGCAAGGAAGCTTTCCCCTTCTTTGAGCAGAGAAGCTTTGGGCAAGGGGAATGCTTGCTTAAAGTAGGAGAAGAACTGGCGTAGCTGGTGGGCCCAGGAAGGCTCGCCTCCAGGGGCCCAGGGAGTCTCCAGTTCTTCCCTTTTCGCTTAGCATCGCGATGGCGATGGAAGCCCTGGGACGGATTGGGTGGGTGACCACCGGCTAGCCGGTCCCAGTCAGTCAGTCAGGCAACACATGCCAACATGCCAACACCCTCCAGAGATATAGCCATCATCATGAAGACACACATGTTCCCATTTGGAAAACACTCACTGCTGAAAACCGGCCAAGGGTTGTTGGAGTCCACGTGGGGAATGGTATTCGTCTTCGCCCCGAGGAGATGCGTTTTGCGGCAGGATTTTCAGTGTGTGACAGTGTGTGGTCCGATCGGTTTCACCAACCTTCATGACCACACACATGCCTCCGATGGAGCTGGGCTCAGGGAGGTCAGCTGCCACCTGCTCTTCGCCAGCGCGGCTCCTTCGCCGGCGCAGGGAGTTGGGAACATTCCACCGCACCGATCCAACTAACTCCGCACCGTTGCCATGTTCCTCCTGACAGTGGCGGCCCTCGTTCTGGAGCTTCCGCCAGTGCTGGGGAGCCCGCAATGTCAAAACCGGAGCCTCGAGTAGCTCAGCTGGTGGTGGAAAGATTGATCTTGTGACATTGTGTGAAGGAATTTTCCATTTGCAAGAATGGCCAGGGCAGCCAGTTCATGTTCAAAGACGAAGGATTTTGCCCAAGCCCAATTGGTTTATTTGAGCAAGTTGTGTTGGTTGTCATAGTTTTCTCCTTAGTTGCCCTTGTGGTTTCATGGATTTGATGACGACTGAAGTGCTGGATTGGAGGACTGGTGGTCTGCAAGATCAAACATCTAAACAACTGCGTGCTTGTTTCAACCCGGATCCATCCACCTGAAACCATCCGCGCAGGCTCAACAGCCCGAGAGACACTTCGAACTCCACCCGCCCAGGAACCGTTCCACCAAGCCCGGCGTGGACCGGCCTTGCCTTTGTGCTTTCGACGTGGACCGTACGCTCACCGGATACCAGGCGCGGCGCACCCGTCGCCGTGATGAGACGGGACGGTGGTGTGATTGAGATGGGCTGCAGGCGACGGAGCAACATGGACCTTGAAAACCACCAGGTGGGTAGATGAGACTAGCCTTACAGGGGTTCATGTTCACTGTCATGTTAGTCTGTACAGCGGAAACTTTATATAGTGTAATCTGGATTGTTTTTCAACATCCGAATGAGTGTGTGGGCTTTATAAATCAAGGTTCGATAATACGAAGCATGGATAAGCATGGCCAATTTCACGTTCAACTACTTGCCCGACACTGTGTGTAGTTCCAAGGGAGTCAACAACATGTTCAACGAGTTCATGTTTTTGTATACCAGCAGTCACAAAGGGGTGCTTAATGAAGGCTAGGGGTTCCCAGAACATCCACTCACTGGGTGGGACGAGCCATACCACCCCGACATGTGACTCCTGGTATGTTTATCTTCGTTCCACAGGAGTTGCGTGAGGAATGCCCGCTGAACTTGGTGAAGGATGGTGTCACTTGGACTGGCCAACTTTTGGGCGTTGAAGAGCAACAGAGCGGCTCAGCACAGGTTTGCACCAGCTCCAGGTGGTAGAAGACGTCTTATGCTGATCTGATTTCACACCGTGGTGGCTCATAATTGCTGTATACATTGGGGGGGTCCTAGTACCTGTAACAGTCGGTAAACAATTATCACTATTTTAGAGACCGGCCTTTACGATTGAGGGTTTGCTTGATCTTCCCAGCCCTAGACGCTAGTGCCAGGCACTATGAAGCGTTGAGAGTCATGCACTTTCCAGAAGAAACCGGCCTGAATGGCCAACCGCCACCTGCCATTTGTGAGGTAACCAATGGCAACCAGAAGGCTTCACCGGCCTTGCTGAGCCCATTGAAGCCCTGCTAAACCGGCACCAAAGCAATTTGCCCCCAAGATGAGAAACCATGCACCTGGCCAAAACTCCGTTTCGAGCTAGTCAGCGAGCGCTAAGGTGAAGGACTATGCCTATCTCTATGCAGCTGGGCTACCGACGTGGCTTTGTGAGGTGTGGGTTGGTCGTCTCCACCGGACAGGCCCCGGCACACCAGCCCGCCCAACCGCCCGCCCAACAGCCGGGACAAAGGGGTCGAAGAAACCACGATGACCATGACATGATGTTTGGATGGCATGGCCCGTTTTTCATGACCTGGGAGCATAAGAAATTGGACCACACTGACAGGTGGTGAACTCCACTTCCATGTACAGTGATGTACGTCCTGAGATGCGTTGCGAGCCCCGTGTGTGGGTCCTATAGAGTCAAACTGAAGAAGACCTTGCTTGAGAACACATGCAAGATATGCATGGATGCATCATGGATGCAATACTACTGATTGCATCAGTCGGCATCATTCTTTTGAGCATGTTAACTGTTGCTATTCTTCAAGGCTCATTGCAGCCTATCCATCGAAGGTTGGTTCGTTTGATCCTTGGTAATACTTCGAAATCTCACATTTGACCCTGGATTTTGGTGTGTCATATTGTGGAGAGTATTGTGGAGTTTTCTGGAAGGGCTTCTACTTCAAGAACGCACAGCCATCAAGCCCCCGGCCGACCATCGCCGAACGTTAGGGTTTGAGCGGATCGGGTGTTTACTTCAATTTTCACAGGCTGGAGAACAGATGAAACAATAGACAAACAGTGGATGGTTTGGCCATGTTTGGCCCAGATGTCCTGATCTTCTGACTGTCAGTGGTTTTCTTCATGTTCGAAGCTGCTTTTCCGGGCGACCCCCAGGTGCGCACCGCGCCACTCCCACTCGCTCGCCGCGTTTTCCGCACTCGAGGCGACCCCCAGGGGCTTCGGCTTCCTGACCCTCTCGGAGCTGTCGCAAGGCGTTTCCGATGTTCCATCCACGGTCGACGTGGGTGTCCGGATGGGGAGGCGGATGGAAAAGGACCCCTTGGAGGTGGAGTTGGTGGCGTAAAGGATCCCTTTCAGGTCACTTTCACCTCATTTGACTAGAGAGATCTAGAGAGTTGATCCATCAATTAGATTCAGGAAAAGAAGAAGGACTCAATGAGGGGCGACCTGGGCGACCTGGGCGATTCGATCTCTACATGTTTACTTCGTGACTGAACTTGGAACTGCGATCGGAACAGAGGTACATGTCACAACGAGGAGTTCCGGCCGAACTCGTCGCTCCGGTCAGACCTCCGGGTCCACCGACGCCCCACCCGTCGGACGGAGTCTGCAGCGTCGGTCTGGGGGTTCTGGAACCGAACGGACGCGTAGACTGGAGCGTTCGTCTGACGGTGGAGTGGTCGGCATGTCCAGCAGTAGTACGTTGTTTGTTTGGCCAGCAATGAACTCACTTGGTCCGTTTGAGCGGTAACATGGAGGAAGAAGAACGAATTCTTTGCAGTACGTTGTTCCCCGGTTTGGTCAGGACTAGGTGTGCAATCCAGATCCTTCAGCGCGCAGTTCCGTGGATGTTCCATCTCCTTCGCTAGGCTTGAACGCGACCTTCTGCCGTCATTGCTACCTGGGTATTGCCTCAGCCGGTGGTGCTGGACTGGATGTAGCTTGGTTGCCCAAGCAAATTGGGGCCGGCACAAGTTAGCCCAGTCGACTTGCTGACTGAGTGCTGACTGGGAGATGAACACCGATCCATTTGCATGTGCCCCCGACCTGCGAAGTCTCTGAGTTGGGTGAGTCGAGTCGAAGGGTCCGAATCTGCTTCTATCGATGTCCACCGAGCCCAAAACTCTGAGGGACGGAAGACCTGGCTGGGTCCACAAAGTGGGGAAAAACCGCAAAACGCCCTGCAGAGTCCGGTCGTTGGCGCTGGACTCAACACCCCAACCCTTCAGAACCCTTCGTAAAAGAATGCTTGTTTGGTAAAAGGCCCACAAGACCAATCAAATGTTTCAAGATGTTTCAAGGACAGTGGAGTTGAAACATTTTGACACTGTGTGTTTTTTTCAACCTTTTCGCCCGGGGGGGTGCCCAGGACGAGAAGGCGGTTTTGAGCTCGGTGCTGCATGCGGGTGTGGCACGTGGTGAGCTGTACGAAGCCTTGCCTAACTGGACCACCGGAGGCTTGGTAAAAGCGTAGGAAGCTGTTAGAGGGCTACAGTGGTTGAAGAGTAGATGGTACCCCACAGAGATGATGACGCCAAGCCATTGTCCAATGTCCGCAATCCACAAGTGGCAAATGTCTTTCATATTAGGTCCGTTCTACTTCTTGGAGTAGATGGTTTAGTAGGTGATGTCCCAATCCTCTAGGGCATCTCCATGAAGGAGATGTTGAAGGGTTCGTGATCCAACATGCCTTGAAAGAAATGTTTTTTTTCAGTGAACGCTAGGTGCCGAGCCAGCGCTCACAAGTAAGCGACTGACTTCAAGTCGTTATATACCGAGATGATCCAAGATGTGATTTGGTTTGTTGTTTGTTTCAGGCATCGGTACGAGCAACCTGCCGTCTCAAAAAAATTGACATGCCACTCCATGCATGGAATGGTTGTAAAGGGGTGAATGGAGGTAAATATGCCAAGAATCACATGGAGCGTTTGGGAGATGTTGCTAGGTGCGTCATCAGGTCGGCAAACAGGTTGGGAAGACTTCGCCAGACGAACAACATCTCCATGGAGCCACTGTTCTGTGGAAGATATAGCAGTCCCAGACACTCCATGTTGGTGCATGTATACACAGTTAACTTGTTTCCAGTACATTGGAATGATTGAAAAAGGGGTCCAGTACATTCGCATCTGTTCGTTCGTCCCACGGCGCCGTTTGCTTCGTGAATTGCGTTCCGACTCGTCTCGGCGCCAGCGGCTGGCGCCTGGTCCTGGTGGCTTTGAGTGGTCGCCTCTGAAGGGGGTGATGTCGTAGGTCATAGAGTGGAGAGGTGTTGAAGCCCCTCCAGCCTTCCAAGGAGAAAATCCTGAAGAGCAAGTGGCCTCTTGGCCTGCGCTGGAGGGGAGATAGGGGGGTCACATTGGGGAGGAGGCCGGGAGTGTGGAGGGAACATCAGAAAGGTGACCAGAAACTTCGTATATTTCCGAAATCTGCATAAAACTGGGTGGAAACCAACAGCTCCAAAGCATGGTTGGACAACATCCTCCTACCAAACTCATACCGTGTTTGTTCCTGTTGTTTAATTTTCTGAAATCAAGCAAGTGGAGCGCATTCCAAGTGGGTGGTTTGTTTGGTGCTGCCAGTGATCATGGCAGCTAGGAACATGGAGCCTTGGGGTCACATAGTGAACTTTAAAACCATTTGATAGCACCAGGCCTTCACACCTTCGCACCGGGCGACGCGCTTTCGGCCTCGAGGAAAGTGAAGCGCCGTTTGTGGTGTGGTGTGCGGAAGGGCAGAAGATGCATGGATGCATCAGGATGCCCTTTTCTCCCCCCTGCGACGACGTTGGAAGATTGGCCAGACACTTCCGGGCGTGGCATATCTGGCATGGCGAGCTTGATTGCAGAATCGGCACTGCCAGCCCTGGAACTACGTGGGTGGGACGTGGGTTCAGAATCCCAGGTTCCTGATACGTCGTTCATTAGGACATGCTACAGGAAGTAACTGGATGTGGCACCCACCGGTGGTCCGTATGCTACCTACCTACCTCTCCGATGGATGGCACCCCCACCCACCTCCTGCTTCGGTCGCTTCGGTCCATCGGAGTCCGTCGCTTCGAGCAAAACCAGGAACCTTTGCGTCAAGAAGATCGTCGAGTGGTACCGCAGTGAGCGGAATGTGTCGATCAGTGACGAGGATGTGCCCCTTGGACCGGTCCGCTTTTCTGGCCGCGGTGTTTGCGGCGAGTGGAGCGATGGTTTTCAGAAGCAGCTGGTGAGCCAGGACGGTGCAGATGTCCACAGTGGCAAGATGTGGCCATGTCCTTGCCGGCGGTTTTCACCCCGCCTCACTTCCAAGTTGCGGATGGTCAAATCCACACGGGTCTAAACAAGAGAAGAGCCGTGCCACTCGAAACCTGGAAGCATGCCCTATGGATCCACACACACCTTCTTATAGAAGTTGATTGGAGACATGTGAGGCATGTAGGCGCCAGGGTCGGGTCCAGTGGTACCTTCTGAGAAGGAGTGGATCCCTACCAGCGGCCCCACAAACCATCCAAAAACTATCAAAAACTGGTGTTTCCTGATTCCTTAGCAGCAGCAGAGGAGGAAAAGATAACAAAAAACAGGTTCTTAAATGTGAAAGTCATCAAAAAACCTGGGTTTTCCTTAGCAGAAAGACACATGGTTCTTATCAGACCTGTGAACACCGGGTTTTGAGGGCCGGGGTGAAACCCCATGGCATGCTGAGTCGAGACGCAGACGACCGATCCAGAGACCACAATGGAACCTGAAAGCCACTGGGGGGGGTAGAGAGCTTCAGCTCTCGAAAACTGGTCATGGAAATTCCATGTGATCTCGGAACCCGGCTTCTTGTAAAAACTCCAGACGCTCCATGTATATATGCCGTGCCGGTCAATTGGGGTGATGCCAGGGGGGTCGGCCTTTGGGGCGTCCGTCCGTCCTGGCAGTCCCAGACTCGTCGTCGTGTCTGGGAGATGGCAGTCCCATCAGTCCGTCCTGGCAGTCCTATGGATTCCTATGGCAGTCCCATGATTCTGTACACTACGGAGTGTTTTGGTGACCAGCTCAGTCCGGTCTCATCGTCCGAGCGACTGCTCCCGTGGAGTCCGACTCCGACGGGACTCCAGGTCCGCGATGGGGAAGAGTCAGGTTGACTTTCAGACTTGTGAGGCTTTCTTAAGACCATCTCATGTCTTGGAGAAACGACTTGGAGCCTCCAGAGAAAAGAAACGATCAAAGAACTGCTGGGAAATGACACCTGGTTTATTTCAGTGCCGGGATCAAACTCAAACACTGTTTGTGGGGGACTTCTGCCTTTGTTTGGACAATTGGACACGTGGGTGTTCCACCTCGACCGCCATGATTTGCAACGAGAGCTTTTGTTGGCACATCCTTTGAATGAGCGGCATCATGCAGATTCAACCAGGCAAGGGAAGAGACTCCCACCCCGTTGCCGAGAAATGCGCTCCCTGGAAAGGAACACAACTTGAGCACAACCACAAACAAGGGGATGTTTCCACAGTCCCAACCACTCATTATGGGATCTCAATTGCCGTATTGCGGTGGGTCACAACCTGGAGGTCCAAATCCCTGGTAGGTTCACCGTGTTTGTTACTTTGTTCAGGTTAGATGGTCAGCCAGGATTGTGTTGACCCACTGTTGTGTTGACCCACTGCCATATTGGAACTTTGTTTCTGGTTGTTGGGGTTTCCAGGCCAAGAGCTGCGGCAGAGGTATTTCTTCGACGACAAGGAGGACAACATCTCACCCTTCGTGCAGACCAACTACAACGCATTCCAAGTGAGCTGTGGGAGTCGTATCTTGGGCGGATCAAGGGCAGCCAGGCCCATGCCAGTCCCAGACAGGTCGTGTTTGAATGTGTTTGAGGGAGGTCAATTCCCTTCCGGGGAGGTCTTTGGATTGCTTTTTCATGGCCTGCGGAGCGGTCTTCCTGCATGGTGCATTTTTTCTGCGTGGGGGTCCGGGTGATCTAACAGCAGCACATCTCTGGACTGACTTCAGGTTCAAAGCGACCCAGGAAGAATTGGCCAACATTGACCCCTGAAACCACCCTCAATGTAGGCAAACATGATTTTTACATGGAGTGTTTGGGAATGCGCAGGTTTATGTGGAGTCAAACCATGGCATAAGTAAGAGGGGATCAAAGTGTTCCTGCCTTCAACATCATGTCATGGATGAGTTTGGTCCATCAACCTGTTTTCAGAATGATGGGATTAATTTGGGTTCTCTCATAGGCAAAGCAAAGCTGTTTGGGGTCTATGCTGGTATAATGTGGATGACTTTTGACAGGTCGATCTTTGCTCAACTGGCTCTTTGCGGCCGTTGTTTGAGGCAATGGCAGTCGCGGCCTCTGTGGCGGGCGTGTGGCGGAGGTCTGGGACACGAAGGGCGTCTTCCTCTGCGAGGGAGAGCAGCAGGTCTGCATGGAGGAGCGGAGCTAAGCTGCGGAGCTGAGCCGTTTATCTTCCAGCGAAAAGGCATGGGTTGTGTAGTGTGTGTTGTGGTTTAAAGAATCCCCCAGGCAGCAGAGCAGATATTCTAGACATGTCACGACTATGTCAAGACTATATAGCTTAACAATGAGGATGTTGGTTATAGGAGTGTTCGGTGCCGGGAGAGTCCTCCATATTCCCCCTTCATCAGGGAGCCAAGGAGATGCGGGGGAGCCTTCAGTTGCCATGGCCGAGTTGCATCAATTCAAGTCTCTTTCTTGTGCGGAACGCTGGTCCGTGTCAGATTTAGTGGAGAAAAGCACCTCTGATCCAGTCCTCGAAGCAGTTTCAACCATCTCCTCGGGTTCGGTGGTTAGACTGACCCCTCCCTGGCACCCACCCCAGCCACCTAACCTCCATTTGAGAGGTGGGTCAGGGCCTGGGCCCAGGCCGGGTCTATAGCTCCACCACGTTGCCTGGGCCCTTCCGTCCAGTCCCTCAGGACCTGCATACGACCACCGCATCGCCCATCGCCATGTCCCACGCGTGGGGATCATCGGCATCGGCCGCGTGGGCTGCGGTGCTGGTGCTGGTGGTCAGCTGGAATAGGTGAACTGAGTCCAGCATAGTGAACTGAGTCATGGGTCCAACAGCAAACTGGCAAGCTGGAGTTCTTTGGAGAAGATTTTTGGGGTCTAGAAGTGGGAAGATGCCACGCATTCACAGGGAGAATGCAAGAACACAAATTCTACCTCAAGCATGCATTCGTGATGATATTCCTCAGAAACAGCGATCTGTATATTTGGATTTATCACATGATCCACATCACAGTTGTTCAAACAAGTGATCAAATTGCTGAACTGTCCATTTTTCAGTCAAACATTTTTAATGGATTGAATTTGTTTAGTCGTTTGACCATCAGTTGGCTTTTGCTGGACGCGTTGGGTTCTCTCTTTTGTGCTCCTTCAATGAAAGGAGTTGGCTGAGCGGCTGAATGGCGTCCTTGGGTTCTGGGGTGCCGGTAATGTACGCCAGCACTTTGCAAAGCAGCGAGACTGATGAGATACACAATGTCACAATATATATATATATACGTATATATATATATAGAGAGAGAGTGATAGCTGACATGCATAAGGTAACCTGAGATTATGTAACTATCGGTGAATATGGCTGGGACTTCCTACAGGCTGGCACTTGAGGTCCAAAACACAACAAGTCTCAACCTTTGCTCCTGGCACCCTCAGCTTTGGGAGTCTTTTAAAAGCGCCATGGTGCTTTATGTATGGGAGGGTTCGTGTTTGGGTTTCGTTATTGGAGAAGTTTATGTTCAGGCTTTCAGTTTTTTGGAGATCGTGCGTTTTGCAGTGATTGGGCTTTCGTGTTTTGCTAGTTTCATCCATCAAGAGCCGCACAAGTTCGAAGCAAGCAACCTGCTTCCCTGACGCAGACGCTCAAAGACTGCGCTCGGCTGCCGCTCAAAGACTGGGCGGGGCACCTTCCTGTATAGCAGGGCCCCGGACCGCGTGATGCAGACGGGTTCCTGACGCACTGGTTTGATGGCACCAATCGAAATGGATCGGATGGCGTGCCGGGCTGCGGCACTAAGTCACTACTCCCAGATTGGGCCGGTTGACTTCCTTTCGGAAGGGCCCGGGGGGGAGTAGAGTTGAGACATCCTGAAGTAGGGGGCAACTGATTGACGTGTCAGTTCAATCTTAATTGCAATATTTGATGATGACCAGTGATTAACCCTTGAATGTCATTGAATTGTAGATTGGCTCAGTCTACAACCACTGCAGATGGTCTTTCTAAGAAAGCGGAAGCCTGAAGTCGTTCGGTTTGCACTCTCAATCGGCCCCTGTCAACCTCCAGCAGACTTTGTTTGATCAGGACCCTGCGCGGTTTCAGCAACTAACGCCACCCTTCGGCTTGGCTAGTCTTTCCGGCGCGCGCGTCTCGCTTGGCGACAGGAGCCGTTATGGAACGCATCTTGCTCCAGCACCGGAGCGACATTGAAGCGGGGCACAAATGTCGCAAGGAGCCACGGGAAATACACCTTGGAAATCCCTGTTGGTATTTCCTCTAGAAAATGGGAGTGGTTGTGGTCCCCTAGAAGTAGGTCATTCTTTAGGAACCCTCATTTCCTAGATGATTCTCTAAAAGAATGGGTTGAACGCCCCCTCTGTGCTAAGCTAGTATCAAGGGGGATCCTTGGAAAATGAAGATGGAACCTGAAACCCACTGGGTTGATCTTCGGAAAATCGTTTTCCATCAGGTTCCATGTGGGTCTTAGAACGGCGGCCCAGTCGGGCTCAGCAAGCCGACCGAAAAAGACTCTTGAGGTTCAAATCTCAAGTTGTGAAGGTTTACTCAGATCAGTGTGACAGCATGTGACGCGATGTGAGCTAAAAGGAGTTGTATTTTTTTTTCAAGGCATGTATATAAGTACCCTTTGAGGTATCGGAATGTAATCACTAAAGGATCGTTGTATTAGGTGCGTTGTGTGAGCAGGTCGCGCGTGAATGAAGGCCGCATGATCATGATCCATATCTTGCCACATCCCAAGTGATGAAATGTGATGAACAAGAGGTGGGGCGTCGTGGTGGGAAAAAACTGGAAGAACAATCAGATCTTAGAGCAAAGGGCAACTCTTGATGCCCATTCCCATGGCCCATTGATTGCCATTGAAACCATTTCTTGATTCCAAGAGGAGTGTATCTCCAGCCTTGACCTGCAGGTCAAACTTCGTGTGACCAGAGAAACCAGCTTTGCGAGGTTTGCATGTTCTTTGTCCTTCGTCCTTTTTCCTTCGCTCTTAGGTGTGGTCCCTCCGCCCGCGTGCCCGCGTGCCGGCCCCGGTATCGCAGGAGTTGCTGCAGAAGATCCGAGACTTGGAGCAGAAGCTCAGCGAGCTCGCCGCTCGGCGAGGTGTGCCGTTCCGCCGCGGGGTGCAGGACCCGCGCGGTGTAGAACTCGCGAGGCGCTCGCGAAATCGGGAGGCAGGAGTGGAGAGTTCAGTCGGACATTTGGGTCGACACAACCGGTTTGGGACTGGAGGATCTACTAGGTAGACGATTTGTCCACCCAACCCCGCCGGGAAATCTCGGAAAGGGGGGGTTCGTGGGAGCGAGGACCGCAAGTGAGCGCATTCAAATGGGGAGGTTTTTAATCAAGAATCTACCATATGCGGAAAGGCCCCCAGGTCCATCAACCGCACACACATATATGCCTGATTTTGGGGTCAAGATGCTACACCGACGCACCACGTTGATTTTTGAGGGATCATTTGCCGATACCAGGGCAGCGGCAACCAGGGCAGCATGTATGGTCTTTTTTGAGGATCTGAATGGTCAAAGTAGTGGTCAAAGTTTTCTCATCCAAGGGCAGCCTTTTGATATCTTTGTTTATGCAATGAAAAGGTCCAGCTTCTTGAAAGTGACCTCAAAGCGAGATATCAAGTTCTGTCACTTTGAAGAACCAGGGTTGTTAAAGTGTGTGTGTGTGTGTTTCTGTTTTTTTTGGGGGGTTGTGTTTGTGAGTATACGTTTTTACTCCCAACCATGTTCTACCGATGTGCACAAGTAGTTGTAGAGGCCTATTGTTCGAGTGTCATCATAGGACCAGGTCTGTGTGACTTGGGAGTAGCAGTGTAACTGTTGAGCTACCACCCTTTGGCACCTTTGGGCTCTCAATCATGTTTGGTCATTGGACGGACATAGTTCCTGGTCGTCCACTCCGTGCTGGCGTGGGTCCCGCGCCAGATAGGCAAACATGGGCATTCTTGGGGCAAAGACATGCCGAAGGATCTCTCGGTCTGTCTTGGAACCCGTAGAGCCGTCATGAGCCGTCGGCTTCGGCAAGAACATCACGATTGTTACAGATGGATTGGTTCCTGCCGCCTGTGGAGGGACTGCCAATCCCAGTCAACATGTGGAACCAGTCAACCTACCACGAAGGGCCTGCAACCGGACTCCCCGCGCCGTTCCACGGCGTGTGTGGTGTCGCAGACTCTTTCACCATGCAACGCCTGTTTCGAGCGCCCTCAACGGTCTGCAGGACCTTGAGTTCTTGACCTCCCACTTCGGTGATTTGCAAGGTGGTCACGTGGTCAAGTAACACCATACTAACAATGCCATATCAACCTCAAGCCCCGAAAAGCTGCACTTCTGCAACTTGGACCATGGCCCGCTGGTGGCACCGCTTCCTGAGGTGCCGGACGAGCACGATGCCGGGGTGCGAGGCGACCGGGTAGCGACCGGCGTTCGTCGCGTGCCGCGTCGATCCAGTAGCAATGGCCTCCAACATATACTTGCGATGGCCTCCAACCTAATAATAGTGTCCTCGTTACTAGTATAGGTTCTTGTTCCCTACTAGATGCATTTCTTGTTCCATCCCTGCCCGCTGTACGTACAGGCAAGCCGGCCGCCGAGCTGATGCCCGGTGCGCCCGAAGCGGCGGAGGAGGCGGAGGAAGTGGTGGATTGGATGGGCCTCAACCGACACAGCGCTACACCGGAGCGGGGGGATGGGATGGGTGGTGTGGGGATGGAGATGGGTTTCAGAGTGAGAGTTTAGAAAACACATATGATACATCCTTGTTACATACATAGGCAGAAGGTGATAATATATACATAGTTGTACATATTATATCCTGATCTTTGATGGGATGTTTCAATGTTTTAAGATTATAATATTAGGTGATGAGGTGGTGGGTTGAGAAATGATCAAGAACTGCGGGCTGTGGTCAGAAAATCAATTGAGTTGTGTGCCTGTATGATCCTCTATGCAGTTTGTGTCATCTCTTCCTTGCAGATCTTACAGATCCAAACAAGTCAGCTTATTGGTCGGCCACATGCTGTTTGCTAATTCACTTGAAGTTACAAACAGCTCCTTCAGCACTGGGGGGGTCAAGACTTGCAAAATACAACATCGAATGTGGAAAGCAACCGTGTAGTTTGGATTTCTCCGTCATAATGGCACAGAATAGTGTCCAGTGATGTTTCTTGGGCGGACGTATATGTTAAAAACATGATCTACTGCGCCTATAGTTAGTTTTGCGCAACTTGACCTCTTCCAGGGCTACCTGGTAGCTTGTGTTTAAGATTGAAGAGAGTCCCGGAGATGGGCCCTCCAACAGTGTTTCTACACATGCTACGGTCCCTGTAAGGATCCGGGTGCCTATAAACCACACACCGGTACTTGTTGTTTTCTCCCGGTTCCTTTAAACCACCGCGGCAGGACGAGTCCACCGGTCCACCCCCCCCATCAGGACTCGAAGAGCGCCTCGGAACCCCGCTCAGGAGCGGGGCACTGGGCGGTGAAGGGGCGCGAAGACCGGGGGGGCCCCGAGGATCGAGCGAGGTAGAGTTGTTTCAATGAAAGGAACAAAAGAAATCAATCAGAACTCAGAGGAGTATATACCCTGGGAGTCGACTATACAAAGAATGGTCTGACGAACGGGGGCCTGAAAGGAAACTTCCTCTTCTTCAGCCGGTCAAAAAATAGTCTTTGGACTTCTAGGGCATGTACAACATGTATACACTCCTGGTGTACACCATCTTTCAAGCACCTATTCGATTCTAAATTGGGGGAGTTGGATTAATCGTGTGAAAGTCTAACTTTGAAGTATAGTTTAATAGTTGCAAACATTGTATATAATTTTCATTACT